TTAATTTTTAATATTTTTTATATTATTTACAGTCATATAACAAGTTATTAGTAAATGTTAACAATAAAAAAAAATTTACTTCACTTGTAGTACTCACAAAGTACTAAATTAATCGAGAGAGCGGACTCGTGAATCTCGTACAGCTAGTAATAATGAAACTAAGCCAGTTCGGGCTTGTGTTAATTTCCCCTATGGCGACAAAATTCAAAACGACAAATAGTGTTAATAGCTAGTAACAATTGTAACCTACGCACATTACCACCACTTAAATTAAAATTCTTTTTATTTCGACGCATGAAAGTGTTAAAGTCCAATAGTATCGATGCCAGATCTGGTTCGACAGATCGAACATTGAAATATAAGATGTAGACTTATTACTTGTTTCGAATTTTGTTCCCCTGAGGGAAATTAACACAAGCCCGGGCTGGCTCAGTTTCATTGTTACTAGTTGTACGATTGCAACAGAACAATATAAATCCTAGTGATCCTACCTTCATCGCTGTCTTCCCAGTCGAACAGAATCTCTGTGACCGTAGATCGATCCGCGAACCTATGGAAATCCTGCGGTTCGTTCACCTGGCTGGCCCACACACCTGTCCATTGGATCACCAGGAACACCACCAGCAGCAGGACACTGATCGCCGCGGCGATAACGAAGACGCGACTCGCGATCCGCGTCATGACTCCCTCCGGCAATTATGATTATTATTGTTGTTCACCGTGCTCGTTAAGGATCAACGGAGCGAAGGAAACGCCGTCCGGTAACGCGCCAAGATCCCAGACCCGGGAGCGGTCACTCGATCATTTTCGTGGCTTCGAGGTACGAAAGGACGAGGATTATCGCGGCACCGAGTCATTCGCCGCTCTGCGCCACCCTCGAGCGCCCATAGAGTCCGGCCGGGGGATCTCAAGGTTCCTCTCTCCGAACCTTGTTTAGCCGCTAAATCCACCCGAGAACCGACCGCGGAATGCCCATTAAGGGCCACTGGAATCTTCGATTCGACGCGCACCGCGAGCTATCCACCACGACGTCGTTATCTTCCTCGTGACGGTGATGATACTTCTGGCTGGTTACCACTCTGTGATCATGTCCTTGTCTCGGAACGTATGACCGGGTTGTTAAGAGAGCCGGGGCCTGCCGAGATATATGACGGCCCTTCTGGCGAACTTCTTGATTGGTTTTTATTGATTCCTGTGATCGTTACAGCTCGGCGAGTTTCACTTTGTCCTGAAACCAGAGGCGTCAAACGATCATTTCAATCTTGTACTGCTCGTACCCTCACGATCTTGTAAATGTTACATCTTAGGCTTTGTACGATTCCAACAAGAGACGCTTATATGCAATTACGTTTTATTGCACTCGAGAACGTTTAGAAGGCATAGACAAGACGGTGTACAGAGTTCTAGATAAACGATCTGCCTGAGCAATGCTGCCTGAACATAAATTGTGTTTCACGGGGTTGAAGAACGATCCTGTCGTCGATTGAGATTTAGAAAAATGTAATCGCTAATTGTGAACGCGGTAAAGACTGCAGTCTCGTATAGGAATTCAAATGCACGAACAGACAACAAGGGGAAAAACAAAGGAGAAGGAAGAAAAGCACAGACTGGGCGGGAACGATTTCCATGATGAGGTCATCGGTGGAGGATGATTTCTCCGTGTCAAGCAATTTAACCGTGCGAATCACCGTGAAACTGATTCGTGTCGCGTTAAACATTTACGACGCGGCGTGTCGCGTCGCGTCGTTCCCTTATCGCCCGGAGACCGCACCGGGCGAATAAATTTCCTTCGGATCGCATCTCGACGAAACCGAACGGGCGATTAATCGACGGATCGCTGATTCGCTCCAACAGCCGCGTTAATTTGGACATAATCGACTCGCGACACGCCTGATTCAGCTGAAAACCGCTTGCCACGGCTCTTTAATCAATAATGAAACACACCAAAAGAATTCACGAATGTTTGTCACTCCGTTTTGTATGTACAGCTTGGGACAATGATTCTCGACATTGATCGCCCTAGTATAGCCCATGTGATATTCAATTGACGACTAAATTTCTTTCAATCTCGACGATTGGAGAATTAAAATTCAATCGTTGATTCTCATAATAAAATTGATCGAGAATCAAAAATGATAATATAAATATATTAGAAAATTTATTTAAAAATAAGATGGATTAATTTCGTAGCGATCGAGCACTTGGGAACGTTTCGCAATCTGATTTCCATTCGTATAACGTATGTCACTCGTCGAGCCCGTTAAGCCGCCGCTCTTTTACTCTGCATCACAGCCTTAACAACTGTCGACAACTTAATTATTGGCATTAACATGCGAATACGGCATCGGTTGACACGCCGAGCTGACAAACACATGCCATGCACGAGGTAAACCGCCAAGGAGACGCGTTCGATAAAAATAACGTCGAAATCGTTTCTCGTCGGATCCATTCAGTGGGACTACAGTATTGCCCGGCCCTTGAGCTCTGATTTACGACAGCCAGCCACGGAGAACGAGAAAAACTGCAACGAGAAACGTAGAGCCTGCATACCGAAAATCGTCTACCTAATCGTTCATTTATAGTGATCAATAGACCGATGTTCACGCATTTATGGAAGAGTATATTCTATTGTGAAACAATTTTTTATAATTCTCCCTGAGATAAATCCACGAAAAATAAGTTTCTTCCGACCAACAAACGTACTGTATTCTTGCCAACAAAGGGTTATACACTTTAATAGATTCCTATTACTATTAAAACGCTATCTGCAAAATTTTAAATCAATTCATGGGTTTTTTGAAAAATTATAGTGACTTAAAATGTGCATGTACTATTATGGTAATCAGCAGTAATCCAAAGGAAACTTTCTGGTATTTGGTGTGCACGCGCCAAGTTGGAAGAAACAACTGACTTGAGGAAATACAAGCATAAAATCTATTTCGACATTTTTCGATATTTTTACAAAAAAAAATCCTGCCCGATTATCCGGGAGGAAACGAATATGCAAATCAGTGGTCACTCGCTTTAAAATCACCCGAATAACTATGGGCGATTAATGCAAATGGCCAAATTCTGTAAATTAATAGTAAATTAATACACACGAATTTTAGAATTTTTATTTCGCGATCCTTGACCAGATGACCGAATGACCAATCCTGGGGATGGGTACTTAAAGTCAGTGGTCATTCCCTTTGGAATGACCCAAAAAATCCTGCCCGATTATCGATAAATGCGGAAGGGAACGAATATGCAAATCAGGAGCCGAGCCATCTAAGAATCGACCAATCATTTTGCGCAGATGTCATTTTGCCCAAACCGTCGATCCCCGAGAGGGTATAAGTACAGAGCCCCGACGCTCCTCGAGTCACTCGATCGGCATTAGGCCGGTCGAGTCACCCCTTTTCCCATCCCATCCCAGTATGCGTGTGCGGTGTGCGGTATGAGTATGAGTATGAGTGTGTGGGTACCGGTACTAGTGTGCAGTATGCCTTTCTAAATTCCACCCTATAACGGAGCGAATTTAACTTCATCCCTCTCTCTC